TTATTTACGACCCGCCGTCATATAGCTGGAATATTGCTGAGTGCGGCGTTAAACAACAAACAAACAAACAAACATTTATAGTAAAGCTGTGATGATTGTAGATTGGGACACAAACGAGCAGATTTTAAAATGAAACGATTGGGTAAATATGTTGGACAGTTTTACCGATGGAAGAGGAACAAGTTATGATGTAGTACAAACAAATCTCTTCGTATCGTCAAACATTCTGTCTCTATCCTAACATTCTCGTAGAGGCTAGTCCTTACAATAAACGTTGGGGTGTTCGACTAGCTCTACATGACCCAAATACTGTATTTCCATCAATATTGAGAAGATAGAAGTTGTTGGAGAAAATATTTATGAAAATCGGAGACATTCTCACGGCTGACCAATTAAAGGTGTTATATTTCAAAAGGGTGACAGATGAAAGAGTCACTCTCTACAAATGGAGATATGTGTTGCGAGCAGCTGATCATCTCAACGAAACGGTCGGTCAGTGTGACCAAGGCCTTTAGGATGATATTTTACGGTAATTGGGAGGAAGATTGCGTACCGGCGTTGTCCAAGCCAGCATCTGTATTGACGTACCTTCACCTGAACTACGGTATACCCGCGTTATTCGAGCCTGACGATTTGGCATGTGCGAGAGGTACAGGGTCAGTACCCGATGGCCCTTGCACCTTACCGTAGTTCCTCCAGCAATCGCAAAAGGATGTTCTTCTTTTAACAGCTTTTATTCACACTTTGTGTTGCTGGTCAATGTTTTACACTGCTTCGTTATACACTGACATGAAGTTATCTGGGTTTTGGGGATAAATGCACCTGGCAAATAAGTTCACCTGTTGTCTATCGCCTAGAGAATTGAATAGTGTGACATTATGAGAGTTCAGAGCAATGTCACCTGTGCCTTAAGCTCTCGGGGGTGGTGAGGTAGCCTAGTGGTTAAAGCGTTCGCTCGTCACGCCGAAGATCCGGGTTCGATTCCCTATATAGGTACAATGTGTGAAGCCCATTTCTGGGGTCCCACGCCGTGATATTGCTTGAATATTGCTAAAGCGGCGTAATTAATACTCACCAACTTAACCTCTCGGAATCAGGTTTAGCGATAGTAGAAAATTCATTACATTTTTGTGATGGGAGGTACGTGTAAACAGTTGAGAAATGCTTTTATCATCTTTAGCTTCTGTCATCAGGTCATCTCAAACAATCATGTTGTTGTTCCGGGCATCGAAACAATGTTCATCCTGTAGATTGGAAGGAATGCCTTTCACAAATGTCACTTAAGGTATAGTTTTACTAATAGTATCTCAAAGAGGTTATCACTCAATGTAACACCACATGATGACGTTAGGTATTGGTTTGATTTTTTCTCTTTGCTTAAAGAAACATAGTGTTTCCACAACAACTCGGCCCCACCAAGACAAGAGTAGAAGGAATCAATAACTTAAATGGCATAGCAGTGTTATTTATTATATGTTAGTTTATAAGATGGGTGGGAAGGGGGTGTGGTTGGGGATGGAAGAGGAAGGGCCTGGTGTAGTCTGTCTTACAGACCCTGATACAAATATATCAAATACAGCCTATGCAAGTCTGTAATGCTTGGCAAGTCTAGATTACTGCAGTATCAGGAAAATGAAGAGAGTCTCTGGGCTCCTTATATTTTATTAAGATACAGTAAAGTACGGTTATAACGAGCTCAAGGGGACTACTAATTTTAGTTCGTTATAACCGTAGTTCGTTATAAGCATATATACAGCATAACTACAGCAAATAGTCGGGACCAAAAAAGTAAGTTCGTTATATCCGTCAGTTCGTTATAAGCGTGTTCGTTATAACCGTAGTTTACTGTACATTGAACAACTGGGTTTTTCTCTGTACGATCTGTTCATTTCAGAGACTAGTTGTAAGTCTAGGCCTGGTGCATCTGTCTTCTTTGTCTCTGAATATCTGAAAAAGTGTTTCCTACTTCTGGATCCATCCCATGGTGTCGTGCTCAGCACTGGCCGTATCTGGTCTGTAGAGATAACCTGCTTTTGTTGCGTCTTTTTACGTCTTATCATCTCGCCCTTGATCCTCTGAATCATAGATTAGACTTTAAATGTAGGTTGTCCTCGGGTCGACTTCTTTTTGGTCTATCTTAAGGCGTCTTCCCCTCACAGCTTCTACCGCTGAAAATGGTTTTAATTATGCATTTTACATGTTTTATAGTCCGTCGTTATGACCTTCGCCTATAAACAACCTCAGTTTTCGCATTGACCAAAGACTTACGTCCAAAAAAGAGGACATTATTGTTCAAAATGAAATACCACCTGTAAAGCATTATTTTATTTTTTTACAACAAAACATTATCTCAATTAAACTCAAGTTTGGTTACTTCAAAATCCATTCTCAGCGATGTTGCAAAATAATAGTTTCAATGGTAAAAACCTTAAAACGACGATAACCGTGTTAAACCATCAATCTATTTATTTCAGTTCTGATAAAGGCCTCGGGCCTTTGTGTACAAAAATTATATTACAAGCGGAATTGCAGTCAACCGCACATTTCCTTCAATATGTGCACAGTACAAATATTTTTGATTTGTTATGTAGGTAAGATATTTTATCTGATTTTTGTGCTATCCACATTGAAGTGAGTGAGTGAGTATGGTTTTACGCCGCTTTTAGCGATATATTCCAGCAATATCACGCCGGGGGACGCCAGAAATGGTCCACATTGGAAGAATAACAATATTTATACATGAACTAACAACATTTATACATGAACATGATCTATTCCAACATGATACAACTTCTTACACTAAGCAAACAGATCTCTGAAAACAGTAGTGTAGGTGACACGAAACGTCAGTGCATCTCCTAGCCATTAGCTGGACAGGGTCAGGTGTTGAGTGGTGACTGACGTATATCCCCCAAACAGGGTCGAGCGATGTAAGCCCCTCGTTTCTACAGGTTACCGAAAGGGGACCGATTATTTTTACGGGACCATTTAAGGTACATAACGGAGAGCTTTTCAGTTTTAACTGCTGACTGTGAACACAGTTTCGCCTATAAACACTGTTTAGAAATCATGGAATATGTGTTTCGTGGAGAATGACTCTTGGTTTTGAAAACAGTACTGTGAAATTAAGACGTCATCTAAAGTTTGTCAACTATTTGAATAACTTATGTGTTCATTTGAAAATAAACTGCTTTGATGGGAAACCTTTGTGAAGAGAATGAGATAATTATTCTGACTCTATTATTTTTATTCTGTTTTGACGCGTAAAAACTTTCTTGGTTCTATTAAAACATAAATATTAACCCGCATGGACATTTATAAACGAAAATTTAAACACGATAAAACTTGTTACAATAAGTACACAAGACTTCAGCCTGTATTGACACACCGCCGGACTGCCTAGGGTACTGTCCATTCCAGGTCAAAGGTATTTGTTTTACTAGCCACTTACTTCCAGCAAGTGTCCCTTACAGACCGCCAGTCGTGTGTTGACAGGTGGGACACACATTCACTGGAGTAGATAACAGGGTACTGCAACTTTAAAAATAGGTTACCGGTAGAGGGGCGATTATTTTACAGTATCTCACAGTAGGGTTTAGGCGAGTAACTGTGAGAAACAAGCTATGCGGATCCCTTGGGCGCGCCAAAAACCTATGATCGTGGTTCGAATCCCGTTTCGTCCCGATTATGTTTCTAGGTTTGTCAGCAACACACCCGTGCTGGACTGCTCGTGGGTTTAAACAGAGTGATTAACGCCTAAGGCCTGCTCCGGGATTCACTTCGGGCTTTCCTCCCACATGAAGCTGACATGCCGTCATATAACTGGAAAAACTGTTCAAAGCGGCGTTAAACCGAACTCACTCACTCACTCACTCTTTAAATCAAAGGGTGCCATTCCAGTTAACGATGCACTTTCTAGTATGTATCCAGTTTGTATCCCGAGTACATCCCAATAGGTTCAATGGCATTCCTAAACGATTTCTAGGCTTAACAATGGTCGCGTTCTTCACAGGTGGCTACAAGGACTGAACGACGTGGATAGCTGCTCATGCTATCACCCACGTCTCAGCCAGCACCAGACCATAATTTAGGTACTCAAGAGAGTAACTTGAAATTTCAAGATATATACAAAGTTGAAATTTCAAGATAATGATCTAACTAGGTCATGCTACCACCCACGTGTCTACCAGGACCAGTCTATTATTTAGATACAGCAGCGGTGTTACTTACGGATGCCTTTGAGAGGCATTTGTTTATTCTAACTTCAAGATAGTAATTTTAAATTTAAATTTATTATTTGAAATTTCAAGACACTAACTTGAAATTTCAAATTACATTCGTTGAAATTTCAAGATTTTTTTTAAATGCCCTTAAAGGCTTCCGTAAGTAACACCGCTGCTGTATCTAAATAATAGACTGGTCCTGGTAGACACGTGGGTGGTAGCATGACCTAGTTAGATCATTATCTTGAAATTTCAACTTTGTATATATCTTGAAATTTCAAGTTACTCTCTTGAAATTTCAAGAACAAAAATTAAAAAATAAATTTCAACTTAGCACCTTGAAATTTCAACTAAGAATGTATCTTGAAATTTCAATGAAAATGTTAAATGACCCTTAAAGGCTTCCGTAGGTTTTAAAAAGGAAACGTTTCTCGGGAATTGGTGCCTCACTTAACTCCGTGTTAGTGATATCTATTGCCAATTAAACAAATTATTCTTTTTCTAATTTCCCTCGCCACCTGAAGCAGCTTCTGCTATCCATGCCTGACAACTGACAATGTATTAAAGAATCGAGTTCAGTGTTTGCTCATGTGTGTTTGTTGGTATTCTTGGTGCTAAAAATACATTGTTTCTCCCCCATCTTTTTTAATTTCAATTTATAAAAGTCCTACCTATGTGGCCGAGAAAAAATGTTTCATGCCGCCTTGCTGACGTCGACGAAAGACCTTTACGTATTGACAATACAGGTTCTGAATATGATTATTTACCTGTTTGCAGACACGCCATTTGGCCAGCTCCCCGTCATAGAGATCGACGGAAAGGTGTTCCCCGAAAGTATGTCCATCTCGAGATACCTGGCGGCCGAAAACGGTGAGTTGGGGATATAACCATATCCTTCCAGATAATAGCTAGGTCGAAATTTTCGTGCTGATAACTCCGAGGTGTCAGTCACCTTTGAATTTGACATGACCATGCACCAGTTGAATATATGCCTCGTGTTGGGCGATGAAATGGAACAGTGGTCAGTTACGGTGACTAGGTTGATTGCGTGTCATCGTACACCGAGGGCGTCGGACATTGCTCGTGATGTTGACCACTGGTTTGCAATTATTACCCGAGGCGTCAATCTCATTATTTTTTCATTTTAATGTTATGTCATCAAGGGTGATAAAAGTAACTGAGAGTTAAAACATTGTTTAAAGCGTAATAGTTTCTGAAATCTAGTGCTCATATCAGATCAGCCCCGGTGGCAGAGTAGTTTGTTTGTTTGTTTGTTTGTTTGTTTGTTTGTTTGTTTGTTTATTGTTTAACGCCGCACTCAGCAATATTCCAGCTATATGACGGCGGTCTGTAAATAATCGAGTCTGGACAAGACAATCCAGTGATTCACATCGTGAGCATCGATCCGAGCACTTGGGATACGATGACATGCATCAACCATGTCAGCGAGCCTGACCACCATGGGTTGCTGAAGATCTATTCTAACCCGGATCTTCATGGGTCCGGCAGAGTGGTAAGGTTAGTGGCTAGAAAATCAGAAAGTTGGCGTGGTGGTCTCGCTCACTCTCTCTCTCTCTCTGACACGCACAGGTCTGGCTGGAAAGACCCCCCTTGATCGACTGAAGGCGGATTACATCTCAGAACAGACTCGCTCAATGAAGGAACCTATTTACAAATACTTCTTCAATGAAGACGCAGAGAAAAAGGTACGTACGTGTCAAAGCCCTTGCAGGTCTGTCAATGCTACGCCGACGACGATAGCACTATTTCGGCACCAGTGTTCTTGTAGACCATAAGGGGACTACAATCGAGGGAGGGCGGGGGCGAGCGGGCGAGCGGGCGAGCAATATTCCAGCAATATGACGGCGGGGACACCAAAATGGGCTTCAAACCTTGTATCTATGTAGGGAATCGAAGCCGAAGGCAGGATTGGGGACGGATGGTTGCGTGTCGTCGTAATGCATGGCGCGTTTACAACTGCGATGAGTGGTTTGGCTTGTGACTGCCGGCATGGATGATCAGGCTTACTGGTTTTTCTGGTCCAGGCTCGATCATCTAAAGACCCTAAGAGTGAAGCAAACCAATTTCCACTCAAAGTAACCTCAACAACAAACCTGAAACTGAAATTAAGATTAGACATTTTTAGATACAGTGTCAGTTCAATACCGCCATGATTGTTTCGCTACTATTTCAGGCTGAGTTGGAGAAAGCGTTTTTTGAGGAGACTGCACCCACATATTTCGGCTACTGGGACGCCGATGTCAAGGGCAATCCCTCTGGTAATGGCTTTCTCGTGGGAACGGAGGTGAGTGATTGTTTGATAAAAAATATGCAATCCTTGGCTCATGATAATGATAATGATGTAAAGATATGAAACAGTTACCTCAACTAGAGCCTCCACTTGGTGCAGCAGCATGGGCTAGTTGATTACGTAAATACTATCTGATTACGTTGATACTAGTTGATTATGTAAATACTATCTGATTACGTTGACACTAGTTGATTACGTAAATACTATCTGATTACGTTGATACTAGCTGATTACGTTGATGCTAGTTGATTACGTAAATACTATCTGATTATGTTGATACTTGTTGATTCATACGATCATACTGGCTGATTACGTTGATACTAGCTCGTTACGTTTATACTAGTTGATTACGTAAAAACTATCTGATTACGTTGATACTAGCTGATTACGTTGATACTAGCTTATTACGTTGATACTAGCTTATTACGTTGATGCTAGTTGATTATGTTGATACTTGTTGATTCATACGATCATAATGGCTGAGGGGCGGTCGGATAGCCTAGTGGTTGAAGCGTTCGCTCGTCACGCCGAAGACCCGGGTTCGATTCCCGACATGGGTACAATGTGTGAAGCCCAAGCCGTGATATTGCTGGAATATTGCTAAAAGCGGCGTAAAACCATACACACTCACTCACTCACTCATACTGGCTGATTACGTTGATACTAGCTCGTTACGTTTATACTAGTTGATTACGTAAAAACTATCTGATTACGTTGATACTAGCTTATTACGTTGATGCTAGTTGATTAGGTTGATACTATCTGATTACGTTGATACTAGCTGATTACGTTGATACTAGTTGATTACGTAAATACTAGTTGATTACGTTGATACTAGCTGATTACGTTGATACTAGCTTATTACGTTGATGCTAGTTGATTACGTTGATACTAGCTGATTACGTTGATACTAGTTGATTACGTAAATACTAGTTGATTACGTAAATACTAGTTGACTACGTTGATACTAGTTGATTACGTAAATACTTTTTGATTATGTTGATATGTTGATTTATGCGACCATGCTTGCTAATTGTGTCAGTGTATCCCATTTGGGTGGATCAAGGCTCATGATGTCAATCACTGGATTGTCTGGTCCAGTCTCGATTATTTACAGACCGCCGTCATATAGTTGGAATATTGTTGAGTGCGGCGTTAAACAACAAACAAACAAATGTCGCTACCAGTGGATTAAGCTGTCACCAGTTGATTTACACGTTCAGCGGACACGTAGATACGTGAAGACAAAGAAAATCTGTCAATCACTGGATTGTTTGGTCCAAACTCGATTATATAGCTGCCGTCGTATAGCTCGAGTATTGCTGAGTGAGACGTTAAACAACAAACAAATCTATCACTCGGGGACTTAAAAGCCTCATCTACTCTATGATACCCTGTACAACCATATTAAGCCGCTTCTATACCTCTCAACAGGTGACCATTGCTGACCTGGCCGTGATGGACGCTGTGGACTTTGTCCTGCAAAACGAAGCCTTCAGGGCAACATTCGCCAGCAGATTCCCAAACCTGGCCCGAAACTACGAGGCCGTTAAGTCCATACCCGGCGTTAAGAAGTACAGGGACACCCGACCAGATAACAAGATCTAGATGATGACACGACGGTGTTCCTTGGAGTATCAGTTACTTGAAGGAACACTTGGCTCGGCGTACTTTGCAGTCGCGGGCCAATTCAGATCCTCCAAACACCAATCATTTTTATCATTTAAAGCAGAATGGTATTAAATGAGTACTGTCATGACTGCCTCCATTCCACGCACCTACGCTGAAAATGGGCAAGAGACGGATGCCTAGCCTCCTTTTCAGAGATTTATTTTAACTGGCTCTGCAACCTCGTTGCGAATTTTGATTGATCCCTTTTCCAGTCGGCTCGGAAAATAAAACTTGTTGCTAAACTTGACAATTCCGTGTATATGTATAAACCGTGCATTCGATAACAACAGGAGGGTGGTTTTGCTGGGGAAGTCGTTTGAGTGAACAGCTACTGTGCATGCGTGGTGTCGACGACGCGCATTGTGGAATACACGTGAACAGGAACTGTACGTGCACAGCGTCACACACAACCGCAGTCCAATGTTCCATTGAATTTGGTTCTTTCGTTTACCCTAATTGTCCCCAACCCCTCCGATTTCTTATTTTAGGGTTGTTTGGCATTATACCTACATTTTAAAGTGGACAGCAGATTGTTGAACTTCGTGTCCCTTTAAAACATTCCTGTTAACAGGCGTTGTCTCGTTGCGCATTTTAATTGATCCCTTTGCCGAAGTTGGAACGGCTGTTGTTATGTTGCATGTTTTTTCAACGTTATTTGGCAACAAGATGTATTTCAATAAATAGTTAGTGTTGAATGTCTCGTGGTTTTTTTTGTTGACGAGTAAGGACCGCCGCCCATTGCTAGGATTTATATTATACTCAACCGCTAAAGAAACGCAAGTCATTTTTTTGGTTTGTGAAATGAACAAAATAGTAATTTGTGAAAAGAAATGTATACAAACGTAAAGAGACGCACTGAAGAAACACTGTTCACTATTTACATCATTCATTTTGAGCACGTCGTGTCGTCTAGTTTGACGTTCTTTGTACGTGCAGCGCAAATCACATCCAAATATGCGTGCATTTTCCTCTTTTTCCATCCTTTATGAGCCACCATGTAACAAAAAAACACCAAGCATTTCACACTCGACTTATAGAAAGGACAGGTAAGATGATTCGATTAACTCAAGAGAGGCGTTGCCATTTGGATGCTACAGGCCGGATCAACGTCAACTGAAGTGGCGAGGCACTTTGGATGTCATGTGTCCACCATCACCGGATTGGTCGCAAGGCATCAACAGACAGACAGTGTCCAAGACCGGTCGAGGGTAACTCCTCCAGTGCAGGACCGTCACATCCGGATGATACATCTGGGTGACCGACCGCGACGAGCAACGCAGACTGCTGCAACCATTCAAGGTCCACGTCAGCCGACACAGTTCGTCGTCGTCTGAGATCGGCGGGAATCAGATGTCGTCGTCCTTACTGACTCAACGTCACCGCCAACAACCTCTGCAGTGGGCCCAAGAGCACCTGCGTTGGCGACGCCAACACTGGCAACAAGTTGTCTTCTCAGACGAATCAAGGTTCAACCTTTCTCACGCCGATGGCCGCATCAGAGTGTGGAGACGACGTGTGGAGTGTTACGCTAATTGCAGTGTCTTACAGGCTGGGTGGGGAGGAGGTAGCATCATGGTGTGGGGTGGCCTCAGTTATCATCACAGGACCCATCTACACGTTTTCCGCCAGCGTATGACTGCTGTCATTTACAGGGGTGATGTTCTTTATAATCACGCCTATTGGGTCAACCTCAACTCCAGGTCTTTCAGCAGGACAACGCTCGTCCCCATACAGCACGGGTCTCTATGGACTGTCATGCCCTGGCCGTCTTTGTCACTGGACATGGCGCCAATTGAGCATGGAACTAGAAGCCTTTTAGGTGCGGGAATGGGACAGGATTCCTCAAGCCTTCTTCCAAAGACTTCGCCGCACTTAACTTCAGATTTATTCTACGTCCGTTGAGGTAAGTCTGAAACGGACTATAGAAATATTCGCATGTGACTCCGTTAAATTATGATAATAATGTCTTCACAAAACATAAGATCCCCCCAAAACGAGTCATTTGGAGAAAGTTCTAGATGTGCATCTTATAAAATAACAACATGACGCTATATTTGTTTCGTCAACACTGATCCCATGATACAAGTTGTATTTGCATGGCTTTAGACATGCTGCACGATTTGGCCTTGACAATAATAGAATGACTGTAAATAAAATGCGTCTACAAAATGTAAGCAGAACTTACAGGAAAACGCTCATCAAACATAAAAATGAATATAGGACAAATCTACAAGAAAAAACATAAACCCTATACAACATACAGCAGATCATTCTGGAAGCTGCTTGAAAACACACGATCGAGATTAAACGTTACCATTACTGGAAACTTCTATGACTACTTCAAAACAACTAAACTAGGAAGACAATAATGACGAAGACCCTTTATTCGACTTTAAAGTATCAGACATGAACATTATACCTAATGACACTCAACGGAAGAAATTATTAAAACTGTTAGGAATGTGAAGAATAACATTAAAAATATTATCCTCTTAATGCTGACTCTGTTTACATTCCTATCTTGGGGCATGGGTGTCCCAGTCGTCTAAAGCGCCGCGATTCGCTGTGTAGAGTTACGTCCCTTGGGTACGCCAGAAACCTATGATTGTGGGTTCGAATCCCGGTTCGCCCCGATTTTGTGTCTAGGTTTGTCAGCACTATATCCGTGCTCGTGGGTTTCACCGAAGTGGTAAAAGTCTGAGACCTGCATCGCTTCCGGCCTTCCTCCCACATTAAGCTGGTACGCCGCGATATAACGGGAATGCTGTTAAAAGCGGCGTTAAACCCAACTCACTCACTCACTCACTTACACTCCTATTTGATATAATATTTGACAGTGGAATATTTCAGGAAAGCTGACTCACAGGTTCCATAAGGCTTATTTACCAGAACAAAGAACATCCTGAAAACTATAGACCAATCACATTACGAAGCTGTCTTGGAAAACGCTTTGCCACTGTTTTGAATAACCGACTGACAACATTTCTGGATTTCTCTAATTTACTATCAGAAGCACAAGCTGGATTTAGAAGTGGATTCTCAACATTAGATCACGATTTCAACTTACATCATCCCATTGAACTAAAAAAAACAGGGAAAATAATATTATTTTGTGCTTTCATTGATTTAAAGACAGAAAGAATTAGACTTTGGAATAAAATGAGTCCCTAAATATCATACAAAATATGTAGACATCTATAAAATCATGTGTCTCAAATAACATATTTAGTACTCAATACCTCCACTGTTGTACGGGTGTACGTCAAGGTGAAAACTTATCCCCCGTTTTATTTGCACTATACCTTAACGACCTCGAGCAATTTCTACAGAAGCATGGTGGTACTGGCCTGCAGTTCAATGACGAATCGCTTCAACAATTATTGATACCTCCCTCCATACAACTACTTGTACTTCTATATGCCGACGACACTGTATTATGAACAAGCAACAAAAAAGATCTGCAAGCCTCATTAACGTCTTTCGGGTAATATTAGGAAGAATGGAAACTCAACATAAATGTGGAAACAACTTAAACCCTTATATTTGGTTGAACAAAGCGAGACTACCAGCATGTGCTGTTACTTAATAATAACACCCAATTGGAAAATACTTATAATTATCTAGGTGTTATCTTCAGTAGAAAGCTCACATCTACTGAAACGAAAAAGTCGTTATGTGAAAAGTTCAACAAAGCACTGTGTTCTATCCAGACAATTTAGTTAAATATCCTATTTGTTTCAATATGTTGCCAAAGTGGACAGAAATTCTACCCCCTTTGTTTAATGTACCAGTATACAGCAAACATTCGGCGTATCTCCTCTAATTAATACGCTGTCGTAATAAAATTCACCCCCGAGTTTTGTCTTCAGTCATCACCATGAGCTACCATCCGAGGGCGAAACGAATGATATGTTGCATGGAGATTCGGGGAGAAAGTCATTATTCTGTTGTTGTTAAGTCAAGAGCTGTGTCTTTCTAGGCACGACTCATTAAAAGTAAATGTACAAAGTTTTCTGTTTAAATACCAAATATTGCTACATAACCATAATACCATTAGTTATCAGTATAAATGGATTATGCACATTAAAAGTAGTCTTTCTCAACCTGGAAATATGTACATATGGAATCACCAATCTATTCACTCCGCCCAATAGTTAAGACAGCATGTCACCAATTGACTAATTGATTGGTTTGTACAACGATGGCATTCAGGAATTAAATTTGGCAACAAAAGTTCGAAATAGAAACATATCTCGTACTTCCACCTCCCAAACTAATTTTATGTCTCTTACATTAAAATATCTTGTACTTCCACCTCCCAAACTATATTTATGTCTCTTACATTAAAATATCTTGTACTTCCACCTCCCAAACTATATTTATGTCTCTTACATTAAAATATCTTGTACTTCCACCTCCCAAACTATATTTATGTCTCGTACATTAAAATATCTTGTACTTCCACCTCCCAAACTATATTTATGTCTCTTACATTAAAATAGCTTGTACGTCTACCCCCAAAACTATCTTTATGTCTCTTACATTAAAATATCTTGTACTTCTGCCTCCCAAACTATATTTATGTCTCTTACATTAAATTATCTTGTACTTCTACCCCCAAAACTATCTTTATGTCTCTTACATTAAAATATCTTGTACTTCCACCTCCTAAACTATATTTATGTCTCTTACATTAAAATAGCTTGTACGTCTACCCCCAAAACTATATTTATGTCTCTTACATTAAAATATCTTGTACTTCTGCCTCCCAAACTATATTTATGTCTCTTACATTAAAATAGCTTGTACGTCTACCCCCAAAACTATATTTATGTCTCTTACATTAAAATATCTTGTACTTCTGCCTCCCAAACTATATTTATGTCTCTTACATTAAAATAGCTTGTACTTCTGCCTCCCAAACCATATTAATGTCTCTTACATTAAAATATCTTGTACTTCTACCTCCAAAACTATATTTATGTCCCTTACATTTTAGAACCCAGATAAACTAGAAGATGGAACAAATTACCTGTTTCTGAGAGAAAACAAATTTGCTTTAGGCGGCGAATATCATTACTTGTTTACATATGATTACTTCAGTTAAATCGGAAATTATACTTTCATCTCAACTTTACCCTTCTTTATTCCTTCTGTCCATAAAATGAAGTATATGTATAAACGTTCTTAGGAAACTTGCAAAATTCTGCAAAATCATTATCAAGACATTTAAGTTATAAATGAAATGCTCTTACCCACCATTGGTTGTCTCAAAAACAAGGGGCGGTCGGGCAGCCTCGTGGTTAAAGCGTTCGCTCGTCACGCCGAAGACCCGGGTTCGATTTCCGACATGGGTACAATGTGTGAAGCCCATGTCTGGTGTCCCCCGCCATGGTATTGCTGGAATATTGCTAAAAGCTGCGTAAAAACATACTCACTCACTCAAAAACAAAACCGGGATGTAAAAGGATATTAGACAGCTTTGATACATGGGTGAAAAGGCGTACAGTGCATGGGCTTTTTGATCAGAACCACCTTGTAACCCCTTGTAGTCGAATTCGGGAAGAAATTCAAGACAATTAATTATTGCTCTCCACGAGATGGGATTTCGAAACACTGCACGTGGCGATGACCAAACTGTTTTCAGGGGAACATGTTCCACCCTGTCAACACAACGCCACATTATCTCGCGCCA